TCCCACAGCGAAAAGACACTAATTACTACCATAGATGTACAGATTACAGATCTGAAGAGCAGTGGAAGTGGGACGAATAGCATTATGGGGGGGAGGGGGATCAACAGGTTGTTAACAGTGATGAATGCATCTCTCTTTTCACTGTTATTGTTCTCACTGCTTCTCGCCTCCACACCACCTTTCTCAAGCCTCCATGTTGGTGCCATCAGTCACAGGCGGCTTTAACTAACTCTAACTATCTCCAATCATCTCTAATCAATTCCAATTATCTTTCCTCTGACCCTCATGCATCAGACTCTCTGCATCTCTCAGGCATGGGAAATGGTAGAGGACAACAGCAACAAAAAAAAACTAAATTAAATACACTTTCTTTATATACAAGAGAGAGAAGAAAGAAGCCAAATACCAAATAATTCACACGCCAGGGTCCCCGCCCTAATTCACACAACCATTCTTCAAAATCCCATGATCACCAAACTGTTTTGTTTTTCCAAAACAACATTCTAGAAAGTGAATCATTAATTCTCCAGCTTCCCTTCTCAGCTAAAACTCATCACTCAGATAGCTTAATGACTGCCTGGGAAGTCTTTAAAAACTCACCCCAAAACAACAATCCACTGCTCATTCAACCAATTGCCCTTTATTAACCCAGCAGTTTTCTCTTTGAAGTTTAAAGAAAATAAAAATCTCATAATCTGCTTCCCTTCATCCATTCGTCCCCTCTGCCCTTCTATCTATTTGTCTTCTCAGTGGGATGCCTATGACAAATAATTGCCTAGTTATCAAAATATTCCTCAAAACCTTTTTTCCTCTAGAATGGGTATAAGAAATAAATGTAATAATAATTATACACTTTATTTATAATGCCCTTTTCATTTTCAAAATAAAATCTCAAAGTTCTGTTGTGAGTTGCTAAGGTGAGTAAAAGCAAACAAGTGAATTAAATTATAAGAACAGGAGAAGTGGAGAAATTAATCCTGTCTTCAGGAAAGCAAAACATCTGGATCAGTCCTCCACCTGAGGCCATTGAGCTTTTAAATTAACCCCTCTTGTCAGGATCATAAAGTCATAAATCAAAAATAGAGAAATACAGACTGGAGAGGCTTCTACAACAGTGCCTCTGAGCACTTTGTTGGCTCAGATTGCATCTAAATAAGACAATAGCCCCATTTTGAGTAGAGGAACAAACACTGATTTCTGCATACTTATGTAAATTACAATAGGGGCAACCAGGGTCTGCAGATAATGCAGTGAAATAAAATGGAATAAAGAATACTATCAGTTACAAGCTGGTAGCAGTTTATTAAAAGATAAAACAGTTTTCTACTTCTGGCTTGTCAGGGATGTAATTGGGTCAAACATTTATTCATTTGCACATGATATGTTTGAAAAATTTTTTTCTAAACAAAACAAATTTAAAATTATATTTAAGTCATTTACTTCAAACAAAAACAAAAATGTAGTATATCCTAACAGATGTTTCATATTAAAAGGACAATTAACAAAACAGTAGCCTGGTAACTCTAAATTTTACCATCTCTTTGAACATCTCAGCAAACAGTTGTGATAGTGGCTGAAGAAATAACAAGTGTGACCTGATGCAAAGTAGATGCAAGTTGCTCCCATCTGCTGCATTTGGGTGGCATAATAACATCTGGATATAACCTCTGCAATTCCAAAAACCGCTGATAGTAGCAAGACAATGCGGTAATATAACCACCGGGGTCCAGCTCACACACACTCTTGAATTAACATAATAAGCCTGACTGATTGCTTGCTACCAATATTGTGTGCTTTTCAAACATTGGTAGTTTCTTGTAACTTCTTCATTACCAATTATTCACGAATACAATTCAAAAACTGAATTGATGTCAATTTCATCCATCTTAATTTTCTATTTGTTTAATTTCTTAAACACAAGGTACCAGAAAGTCCTAAAAGGTTTACTCTATGGCAGGCCAATTTAACATTTATTAGCTTGACTGAATATGTAATCCAGATGTCTTAATTACTTTTTTCCAAGTCAAAATGAACATTTCAGATATCTAAAATACCATTCTTGCTATCTAAAATAAACATTTCAGATATCTGAAATTTAATTCCTACAAGTACAAATAACATCACGTTCCTCATTAATGTGTATTGGGCTTTTACTTCCAGATAAAATAACATTCTTTCTGTCTAAAATAAACATTCTTCCTATCTAAAAGTGAATTCTGACGAGGATGTATTCTAATTTCAGATCTCCACAATAGAGTTACTGCTAGTCATAATTACTATTTCAGATATCAAAAATGAATATAACATTACAAATATTCAGAAATCCAATTCTTGATATCTTAAATATCTTTCTGCAAGTAGAAATATCATAACAGATATCAACTACCGGTACTTATTTATGACTAGTTAAATTAGAATTCTAGATATCTTAATGTTAATAATGCCTATCTAAAATTTTGTTTTAGATGCTTTCAAAAGAATAATGCGACTCCGTTTTAATATTCACTGGTTGTTACTGGTCATAATTTTTATTTCAGATATCAAGAATTTATGACTGAAATAGCATATCTGTAGTCTTTGGTTTTCAAACTTAAATTCAAGACATTTGGTTTTATGAGTCTAGCTTCCTCTCTGTAGATTTGAAAGCAGTAATGGCGCAGGTGATAGTATAACTGACAGAATGTAAAGAAAATGAAATGAGCTCGTCCTCAGCCGGGAGGATTTGTGGCGACAGAGAGCGTCTTACGGGAGAAACTTCAACAGAAAGTCTTTCAAAAGAAGAAGTTCTGTTCATATTTGCCTCCATTTTACTCCAGAGGAAAAAATATTCTGACGGAGTACTTCTACTTCTTTTTGACAATTTTGACTATGAATATTGTAATTGTTACTAGGTAGAATGCTTTAGTGCAATCTATAGATCAATAGAAATGTGAGTAGACAGCCTGCCTATTTTATGTTAAAATGGAGACCCATTTCTTTTTTGAATGTCAAAATATGTTTTTTAAGTATATAAAACTGTATTTTGGATAGGCATTATTAAAATTTAGAGACCGGAAATTCCAGTTTAACTAGTCATATATCAATAGTTGATATCTGTAGATGTCAATAATTGGATTTCTGGATATCTAGAATATTATATTCCCTTTTGATATCTGAAATAGCAATTATAACTTGCAGTAACTCTATTATTGAGATCTGAAATAAGAGATCATGCTCGTCAGAATTCAGTTTTAGATAGGAAGAATCTTTTTTTAAGATAGAAAGAATGTTATTTTAGTTTTGTGGAACTAGAAGCCCAATCTCACGAATGAGAAATCGACGTAATTTATACTAGTAAGAATTACATTTAAGATATCTGAAATGCTCATTTTGACTAGGAGGAAATGCATTTGAGGCATCTGAAATATATATTCAATCAAGCTAATAAATATCAAAAGGTCCACTTAAACTATGTAAAGATTTCTAGGTATTTGAAAATGTCTTCTTACTAGTACAATATATTTTTGACAGCCTGAAATTTAGGATATCTATATGTACATTTCTTGTTAGTAAGAATGTAGTTTTGGCCAGGAAGATCTTATTTTAGAGATCAACAAAGGGAACAATTGACAGGACAACGCTTCTAATAAATGTCAAAACGGCCTGCCATAAACTGCCAATCCTTTTTAAAAGATAAACAAATGACCATGAACACAAAACCTGGAAATATATACATACTGCTTTTCAGTGTGCAGTAGGAAAGCAAGTGCTTGATTTAAAATAATGAAAATAGAGCTGGTTTGAATAAGAGCTTAACTGCAATAGCACAATCCTTTGGCTGCTGGCTGAGTCCACTGCTCCAGATGGACTAATTACACTTTTTCAAGGCCATCAACTGGCCTGAAAAGGCCTTGGCCCGCTCTTTGTCTCATTCCTGTTAAAAAGATAACTTGGTGCGAGCCTCTAGACAGCCGTTTTGTCCCTAAAGGAAGGAAACTGGCTTAAAACTTAAGAGTCTGGTTTTGGCATAATGATGGGTGACAGGTAGAGTTGGTTGCAAGGAAGTGACAGATAGATTCAAGATGGTGTTAAACATCAAACCAAAGGACAAACAGATGGTGGGCTGAGGCATAGGTCATTGGTTAGTAGAGCAACTATGAAGGTAGTAAGGAGGGAAATGATTTTTCCAAGTCCTGATGTTTCATTATTCCCATATGCTCAAGGTAATCTGAACTGAAATTGGAGCCGAAATGATCAACCAGTGGCAGGGACACCGATTATCCCAAAGAAAGGATTAAAAAAAAAAAGTGCTTTGCAACAGAGGGGAATTAAGGTTTAGCATTACTGTGGGACTGTGTGCTGCAGGGTGAATAGGTGAAATGATGCGTGGGTGTGTTAGGACAAAGTAAAATCTGCAGCTCTTATTCAAATAATAAGTCATCTTACAGACAGAACTTTAAAGCCCTGATGAAGTCTTGCAAAATCATTAATATCTATGAAAGGTTTATACTTATATTAGAAAATAAATAATATTTATTTTAAAAATACTCTTCATGATTGAAGTGAAAGAAAATAGAAATATATCAAAGAGGTTTTTCCTGCTTTGCAAGGGACTGCATGTTATTTAGCTTATGTCATATCAGCTTCCTTTGTCCAGCTGTTCTCATGCAGATGGATGCAGTACACAGAACAAAAAGCTGCACATGATTGAATGAAGAGGCCCAGCAATGTGCAAAGAAAAGCTCAGTTTGTCTTAATAAGATGTGACACACTAATAACTCTCCATGAGGCTTGTTGTTCCTTCCATCAAGTGTAACCAAATCCTAATTGTTTTTTAACAGTGTTTAAACCAAATTAAACCATAGCCAACATTCAGCAGGTTTATATCTCAGGAGAATGATGGGAGGTTTCATTACATATGAAAGACTGCAGGTGTGCGAATAGACAGGAAAAAAGTAAATCTTGAACTAATGTAAAAAATAACAAAAAAAAAAAAAAGAACAGCTCAGGGGGGTACTTACAGCCGAGACAGACCAGGGTTCTTCTGAAACAGCAGCTCCGGAAGCTGCTGCAGTTGATTACGGTTCAGCCGCCTGCAGCAGGAAAGACGTACGGTCATTCAACGATGTTTGCATGAGTGTTCATAGGTGAGTAGGCTGTGAACAATTTCATCTAGGAGCCATTGAATCAGCTTAGCCACAGGTTATTTTGCTTCAGTCTGCACTGAATGTCACATAAATAGCCAACTTAAAGTTCAGGGGAATTGAACAGACAGAGAGAGTGCCATAAATTCTCCAATTGTGTCCCTTGTGGAATTTAGGATTTTGCTGGCTTTCTGTTCTTCCAGCAAAGAAAACAGAAACTGATTTACCTCCACTGATTATTTATACATGAAGACATTTTATCTGGAGTAATCTGTCTAAACAACAGAAAGGGATGAGTGAGTTAAAGCCTGATAAAGCACAGACATAATTTGGTAGCCAACAACAAAGTCCTTGTGAAATAACTAACATCGAAGGCAGGCAGAGTTTATGCAAATAAAATAATCCAGTCAATGAGAAACAGAGTGTTGTGAATCTTTTTGGAAACCGCAGCTCTCTGCTCTCTGAAAAGCCCCTGGGAAGCACACAGGAGTGAATTTATTGGCACTAAGAGACTGCAAATGTGAAAGACAGGCCGCTGCTGTGCGTTCAGAAAAATTCAGACAGATGTTGGGACTCGTGCCTCTTAACTATATACATTAAAAACTGTGCTGTCAGGCAAAAATACGGATTTGGGAAATGATACACATTAATTATCTGTTGCTGCTGTATCTTTACTTTGAACATACCCACACCTGTTAACAAAGTTTTTAGATCGCAAGTCTATAAAGTCATAAAAGGTTGAGGTTCACATGCGGGTAGAAGCGCTGCCTCACTAATGAGTCGGCTCAGGTGCGGTTGATCATGTTTGTTTGTGTGTTTTTCCTGCAGCTTTACAAGCCATCAAGGAGTCCTGGTGCTGTCCAGATGAGCCAAGATTGCAGTGCGGTAGGCCTTTTAAGCCCACATATCCCACTGAGGGCATTCCTGTCAAGCAAAGCTAATAAAAAAACACTCCCAGCCCACACTGTACCTTTACAGAACCACCCGACCACAATGGATTGAAATGGGAGTGCCTCAACCTTGACACAAGGCTCAGGTTTGTACTGTTAATGTCATTATCATAACATACACATAAGAAGGGTTGACTTTTCATTTCAATCTTGAATTTAGTAAAGTATTGTTTTGAATCTTTAATATAAAACACTTAGGCTGTACTTACAGTCGCTCCAGCTCCTTCATGTCATCAAAAGCCCCTCGCTCGATAACTGTAATCTGATTCTCCATCAGCTGTCTGCAGGAGAAGGACATACACATGAGTTTATTGCTAAAACAGTAAAGAGGGGATTAGGATTTTGTCAATGGGACTTATAAGAGAATACATGTGAGTGTAGGATATCCCACTTTTTTCTACGTTTCAGACAGAGACACACAAACGTTCAGGGCAGCGGTGCGGACAGAGGGCACAGTGTGGAATCTTGGCGACAGAGCTACAGATAGCAGCCAGGAAAGTTTCCAAGGTGGCGCACAAAGTGTGAGTCTGGGCATTAGTGTGGTCTGGGGGGGTGGGGGATGAGAGGAGTGCAGAAGTTTGGCTGGACACAAGACGAAAAAAGGCAGCCAAGGGGGTCAGAAAGTGTTAGGTGAGCTTCACGGTTATGATGTGTAAGTATGATGTGTGTGTGTCTGTGTCAGAGTGTTAGACATTGCAAGTCTGTTGCTGATATACCAAAAACAGATGAATAAAAAGCAGAAATAATCCCCACAACTTAGCAGTAGTAGCTTTTGATCTGAGTAATATAATTCTTTGTCCATGGAGCCTCTGGATGAGAGGACAGAGCAAGATCTCAGATTTTAAAGCATAGTAAAAGTTTCTACCTTATTTGCATGTCATGTCTGTTTGGAGTGAGAGGGGAAACTCCAACCCCCCAAGCTGATTGTTTACTGTAGTGTTTGAAGTGTTACAATAACACACTGTCGAGTAAGGAAAAAAAGTTGTCCAGCTGGACACTTAACAGCAACAAGACCTTCCCTTCATTACATATACAATGGTTCTGTTGAGGGCAACCTCTCCTGTCTCCTGTGAGCCCACGGCGCACTGTAACTCGGCAGTCCAGGCTTCCTCCCAATCGAATATAAATGCTAATCACTGTTCACACTCCATAAACATGGAAAGAAAAGTGCACTTCACCTTTATATCTCTTTCTCATGAATTTAAATGGAACCAGGAAAGAACTAGGGAGTGCTTTTGTGATGAGAAAACTTTTTAGAGGATAGCTTGAGGGCAACTTTTTGTGCTTTTATTGTTCTTGTTTCTTTCATAGAAATTTTGCTCACTTAGACCAGCCAAACGTGTAAAAAGAGAGGACATAAGTTAGCCTTTTAGGTTTTAACCTAACAAAGTGTATGGCAGCTGACTGTGAAGATAAACCTCTGCTTTTTGTTCTTTCATCCCGTTTTGTTCTGTGGCCCCAGTGGGATCCAAGATCAATACACTGAAGGGGCTTCTGCTTTCACCCTACAGAAACAACACTGGTCTACTGGTTCAGTTCATGCTCACTGTGTATTGTATGTATGTATGTGTTGTAAATGTGAAAGAGTCAGAGATTAGGGAAATTTGTATTCTAGCAGAGAGCTACTACTAAATTTGCTGGTGACAAGTGTGTGATGTCAAGGCATTGAACCCCCACAGTGGATGCTGAAGGTGGTGCCGTAAAAGAAGGAGATGATGCACAATGTAGGAGTTTATGGGAGGATGAGATGGATGGGGACAAGGGTTTAAACCCATAAAGCGTTGAAGAGTAGCAGAAATATCATTCAGCTCATGTTACTTTTAAAACATGTTCAGGTCCACCAAGCTTCCCTTTACACAGTGGTTTTAACACCTAAGGTGTTAATACCAAGTTTCTGCAAACCATGTAGTCATAGAGACTCTTTTATAGCTACTTTATTACATGAAGTCATAAGTGCTTTGTAATTATACCACAGAGAAAGTCAATGGCTTCACCTGAATGTGTTAACTGAGTTGAGAGCCTATTTAGGAGCGACGCTTATGTTGATGTCAAGGCAAGTCGGTATGCATGTCTGTGCAATAAGTGTAGTTAAAATAAGCATGATAAAGTTAGAGAGATCTCCAATAAATTGCTTGTTGGAGTCATTCTGTGGCGTAATGTATTTCTGAGTGGGACTCTTGACAAAAGCATTGCTACTTCAGTGGGTTTATGCTAATATGAGCAGAAAGTTTGATGAACTGTAAGCTGCAGGGTTACATGCAGCTTAGGTAGACATGAATAAATAAACAGTAACACACATCTCATCATTACACGTGAACACAAAGGTAACTGCTTACAGAACTCTGAGGTACTTCAGGCCAGCAAAGTCACTCTTGGTGATGCGTGTGAGGTTGTTTCCGTTCAGCTCCCTGCAAAGATAGACATGCAAACATGGATTAATAATTCATCTTTGCTGTCCTACTGTATTTGTTAAGGCTGGTGATTAAAAGAAGGTATGGCTTTATGAACTAATCTTTGAATTTTGGTAAATTAACGAAAATCCCAAAACATAAAAATGAACACTTAGAAAACTCAGCTCTTCAGAACATCACACACTATTGCTGGTGCAGATTCATGAGTTTATCCAACCTGGATTAATTCAAAAGTCTCTGATTGTAAGGTTCAACTCAAGCTACAAATGAAGTAATCCTCGCACATTTTGCATACCCAAATTTAAAAGCAAATAACTGAGGTACATGTGTGATACATCATTTGAAAGTTAACACCTTCTAGTTTCTGGAAATATAAATGAAAATTGGGTTAGTAAAACACAGCTTAAGCTACATGAGTTCCAACATGGCTCAAAGTAGTTTTTCTTATTCTTGAAAATAATAGGCTTTTTTGAACAGCAGTAATAAAGACATACTTAAGAATAATCATGTCTCATTGTATTACATTTGTTCTAAAACATGTCAACCACAAATCAGAACATTTCTGACCTCTAGCTACAACAGTTCCAGAGCTGTGGGGCTTTGAACTTTTGGCGTCACCAGCGTCTCCAAACCTCTCCAAATGTGCCAGATTGTGCCAAATGCTTTTACTCAACTATTTGACCTACAGAATAACATTGAAGCATTTTGATGTCCACAAAACATTTATAAAGCAAGTATTTTTCCACTTTTATTGGAATCAGTGTATATAACAAAATGTATCATTTATAAATGTAAAATTACATTAAAAAAATCAATTAAAAACTAAGCTAAACTAAGCTCCAGTGCATTTTCTGGGCAGGAGTTTTTTGAACTGTGCGCATTGATCCAGTCTCTGTGGTGTATTTCACTCTTACGCAAGCCGGTAACACGGCTCTGCTTTATGCAATCCAGCCATGTCTACCCTTGTTAGAAACCTTACTTCAATGGCTACAAAGTGAAAAAGCCCACGGGGTCTTAACCAATAACAGCAGGACTCTATGAGGCGTAATATCGCCCTACTCTGTGCGTCATTAGCTGAAAGGCAGGGAATGCTTGTGAGACTTCATCGGCTGTCCTTGACTCAAATCGAGTCATACAAAGATGCGGACACTTTTGTTTTGTAGGTAAGAAGACAATGTAAAGAAATACCAAACTTTGTGGGCAAATGTTTTGAGGAAGCAAGTCTTATTAGCAAAAAGTTATCCATTGTGATTTTCATGCATTCTGAGTTATTTGTTGTAAACGCTATAAAAACGGTTGCTGATGATCGGGTGGATTTTGAGAGGTCAAAAAGTCCTATATACATCTTGATCAGTTAAAAGACAAGTAAAAGTAGAATCTATGGGGGCGTGATGATAAAGCTGCACGACGCTGGAGAAAGCACAACAGTAGAATGCACTGCGGCAGCAGCAGCTTTCAATGGAGCGCTCCACTGAAAGTTATAAGTTCTCTTTATGTTGCTGTTGTTCAATAAAAGTACGTTTTAAGATAATTTAAGGCGAGAATAATATACTTTAAAGCTTCACTATATGGTCCATTTACCGATTTAATGCGTAATTAAAAAACAATTTCCAAAGTTGAGAGGACCGTGGCAACCAGCGGACCTCCGAGGCTAACGGCAGCCAGGGATAACCACAGCCCGTCTGCAGCGGCCCTCTCTCGGCATATTCGCCGTTTTACCGACATGCTGTTTGTTTGCACTCCCCCACCAGCTTCCTGTCATGCTTCCTATGTCACAGTCAGTTGCATTCATGTGTCAGTGTTGGCCAATAGGCACAGACATGGTTTGAAAAGCAACGGGTTGTTCTCATCAACAATCTTCCGATGTCTAATTCATCGGCGCCAGACTAAAGTACACATTTCATCTCCCATTTAGTTTGGTTTATCAGGCTAATAATCCTAGTCAAGTCTAAAATCTGTTTCTGATGTATGAGACTTGAAACTGTTGAAGACTTAAACAGCCAACTTTAACATAAAGTATATATCATAATTAGTGTTGCACCGATACCGATACCAGTATCGGACGGGGCCCCGATACTGCCCTAAAATGGTGGTATCGGTATCGGCGAGTACCAACAAATAGGGCACCGATACCATTTTGAGAGCCATAAGTTTATTCAACTATTGTCACCCACTCCTGGTAGGCAATAAAGCGTTCTACTGGATTCAATTTGTATTAGATTTTTCCTGCTTCACAAAGGTAGGCAGCAGCTCGACAAAACCATGATGGCAATTATTTTACATTATTATGGTATCGGTATCGGCCGATACTGCACAGCCAGGTATTGGGTATCGGTATTGGGGCCAAAAAATGGCATCGGCGCAACACTAATCATAATACTACTATATTATATTACACACCTTTCCAGACACACCAATGTCCTTAGTAAATGTAAGCAGCCCATGCAGACATTCCCAGAGAGACTTGCTTGGGTCTGAGTCTGTCCAACTTTCTTAATTTCTAACCCATCTAACTCACCACCAGGTGATGATAGCTTGGCAGTTCCGCCCTTCTTTTCACCCCAGTGTCTAAGACATGTTGTAGAAGGTCAGAAGATATGAATGCAAAGATGATCATTGACCTCTGATTAGGGCGTCCTAGTGCCAAGTGCACTGATGGAATAACTCATTCTTGGAAACGGTGTACATTATGGACAATTCATGAACGCATAGAAGTCCAATTACAAAGCAGCACTTAGGACTAGAGCTGTGGGGCTGTTTCTCTTAATCAATACCCCTCCAGGTGTCACTATTGTTTCCCACATGGGCCTTGAAGCCCCCGGGTAGAATGATGAAATCCTCAGAGGGGTGGTTTCCTGCACCCCTGCCAAGAATGTTAAGAAGGCCTGGTACACCATCACTGCTTGGTTCCTAGGGCAAGACAAGAGTCAACCCTACCCAAAATGGATAGGAGGGACGCAATGCTCCCCTCCACTGGGGTGAACTCCAACACAATAATACGGAGCTGCGGGAAGACAAGCAGCTAAATCCATTCCAACCCTCTGCCTCTCCCTGAGAACAACTCAATAGTAGAACAAATCCAGAAGCTAGGGTCCAGAGCCCAAGCTATGTGTGGGGGTGAGCCTGTGTTGCCTGATCTTGTGCAGGAGTTTAACTAAATGTTTACAAATAACACATACTTAATGCATGGTGGATATTATTACCATAAGAACCAATAATTTGTATAGTCTAGAGTAAATCAGAGGGGAAAAATTAAACAATTCCTGTCAAAATCTATATTTACTGGCTTACCATTACCAATTACTACATGAGATAAAGATTGCTTATGCCACTTGAGTCCCACCCTTCTTCCGCTTGCACAGTCTAATGTTTTTGTTTTTGTGGCTTAAGCAAGACCAGAGTCTAAGTCACAGACTGAAGCTCCAGTTTCTTACTAAAGCTAAAATATAAACTGAGAAAGTTTATGTTTTCACAAGATTTGATGTCAAATGCACCGTGCATTACTGGGCTGACTCCTGAAGGTAAAGTTATGTAAAGGGAAGTTCAAGCTCAATTCCAATTCTACTGGGAAACATTAAGCAGTGCTGTTAAAAAGCGGCCACATTTAAACTGCCTTGGTGCCTTTTATTTTCTATGTAGCACCAGTCTGAAAACACACATACACACACCAGCAACCCCCAATACACACGTCTTTCTATCCACCAGGTCCGTCTACAATTACAGGAGATTAGCAAGAGCCAGCACAGGGGATTTGAATTGGGCTGCAAGGCCAGAAAGCTAAGTGCTGTGGATATAACTGAGCAACCTCCCTGCTGAGCACTAACCATCACAGCAAAGGATAAAAAGGGACTTTAAATCGACTTTTGATTTTCATTTTAATATCATTCATTCTAGAAAGTATTTCATGTGCATCAACTGACAAAAAGTTAGGCACCAAGAAAAAATGGTGCTTAACTTTTGTCAGTTTCATGCTGAATTTTCTTTATTTGTGGTTACACACAATCCTTAGCAGCAGATTATATTTTCTATAAAGACACAAATAAAGGCAGGAAAACCCTAATGTAATTTATGTGAAAAATACAGACATTCTCACTTACACACAATTTTAAAGTATTTGTCTCCACCCTTTCCTAAGCCTCCCCAAACAAACTCTCTAAAAGCAAATCTGGCTTCAAAATCTACTCTGAAGCACAGGTCTCTTTCCTTCAGTCACTTTCTCGTCTAATGACCACTCAAGGGACTGTAGCACTATGCAGCACAAAAAAAAGGTCATTACTTACTGACAGATGGTGCATATATGTGCACGTAAGCACGTGTGTGTATATTTATACATATATATATATATATATGTATGTATGTATGTATATATATGTATGTATGTTTTTATATATGTATATATATATATACACACACACACACACACACATATGTATATTATATATACATATACATGTACACATATACATACATACATATAAGTACATATAATACATAATATATATAAAAGCACACAGGTGCATTGATAGGGAGAGTAACATAGCCACAGGAAAATAAATAATGGACTGGGCTTCATTAGCCTGGGCTTTAACACACATGTGGTGCTCATTACAGGTGCTTACGCAGATATAGACACACAGATACACAATCTTTGTGATTTTCAGTGTCTTATCTTCAGGGTGGTCATTTTTGACGAGACCCGGAGGACATTTAGACAGAAAGGCTAGAGAATGAGGAAGGGAAAAGCAAGAGGAGGAAGTATTGCATATGTGGGAAAAATGACTCAGACATAAACAACTAAAACACTCTCTACTTTGAGCAATTGGGCTTTTTGTGCAATACTCCACAACAGACTTAAAAAGCTGTTTTGCCTGTGTTGTGTTGATACAATCTGGTAAGTAAATAAATAACATGCCTGTACTGAAAACAGAATGTTCTGTAAGTATGTCCAGGAAGGCTTTTGGGTTTAGAAAATGGTCAGATTACTTTAGCAATCGAAA